GCTTTGGTGGAGATTGAACACAGATAAGGAAGTGTTATCCGTTACATGGGTGTGACAGGTTTGCAGACTACCCAATGGGACTGACAGACAACAAGCCTTTGGTAACATTATTGAGATGAAAATAAACTCAAAAATGCCTCAACTCACATAAACAGTCAGGTTTAGCCTTATGAGATACTACAATCAGTCTAGATTGAGTTGGTCAACCAAAAGTTTCTTAGACGCTGCACTGGAGGATTGTAATTCATAGTGTACTATGTACAGATGTAAATCAAAGATGCTCACCAGCACCTTTGTAAGGACAATTGGCGATGGTCAATAAATCCTGGCCTGTAGCCTGTTTTACAACATGGAGGCAGGGAGCCAAACCAAGGCAGCCTTCATACCTCTGTATTTGCAATGAAGTAAAATTAAACCATCCAAGACCCCCAGATAGTCACTACAGTGGTTCCTTACCAGACTTTGTGAAAAATTAGTTGCCAGTTTTGTATTTTAAACAAAAGACTTAACAATGTATTAATTACACGATAACTTCAGTGGAGAGAAAATTAAACAACTCAGTAAGCTGATTGGTCTGTGGTTCAAACTCAAAACAGCCCCCATTCAGACAAAAAACACATAGACATACACAATTAAGGGATAAATAAAAGAAAATAACACAACTGACCAGATTACTTGAATGCCCTCCATCATGCATTGTTTCATACATACAAATACTCCTTGTACATACACACTCCTTGGCCACGTTCCTGAAATGTTGACTTGGGTCACCTTCTTGGTTCACCCAGGCAAAAGAAACAATACTTCTAATGCAGCTTGTCTCTGTTTGGGCTTCTGGAACCTGGTGTATCAGATTAGGCAGGAAGCTTTCAAATCTTCATGTTGTCTCAGCAGCAGCCCAGAACCATCTCTCAGAAAACATAATTTGACAAATTCTGGTCCCTAATATGTTGATAGACTGATCAACTCTTTTCAAGGCTTCAATTACCATGCAATAACTGTCATTTGCTTGAACTTACGGTCTCTTCCATACTTGCCAGAATCATTTCCCAGGTACTAACAATGTTAATACCCAATTTCAGGTATCTGTTTAAACGCAATACTCCTCCTGGGGCTCTCTGTATCTGTTAGAGCCTTTTTAATCAAGGCAAAGTATGCAATTAGCCACCAGGTCTGGCCTCATAATTAAACAAAGCTCATTTGGTCTGTTCCTTTACTTTTAACACAAGCTGTCCCGAAGTTCACAGGTCCTTTTCCAAATTTATAAAAGAATAAAATAACAAAAAGAATGAGTTTATTGATTATTACAAACGAAAAGCAATATGAATGCAACACATGTACAAAAATTAGTAATAAGAGGGGAGTCTAAAAAGATAAAAATTAAAAAGAACAGATGATACAATGAATAATAAAAATAACATTTGTTTGAGTCAGTTGTGAAACGCAGTTCGTTGAGCTTTAAGGCCGTTGCAGTGGAGATTACTTGTAGTATTGACGTTGGTCAGTATTGCAGACTGATTGCAATTCTGCAGTTCAGATGCCTTTTGACTGTGATTGTATTCCAGTATTCAGAGTGAAGGAGAATCCCTTTTATGTCCTGTTTCTCTTTTAACTGTTTGGATCACTTGGAGTTAGAGACAATAATACCTACAAACTAGAGGATAGGTGTTCAACTAACACAGCTAACAATGCTCAAATCAGAGGCTGGTATACTAAAGAATGTTCAGTCATACTACTCCACTTCAGTAGAGTTGAAAGTGGGATATCTCTTAAAGATGTGTAGTTATTGAAATGTGTATTTGAGGCATGACTGTCAATCTCTGCAGTTTGAGAGTAAGTGCTGAACTACTGAACTTTATATTTAAAAAAATAAAAAAAAGTAACAGGGGATTTAGAATTAAAAAATGAAAGTAGCTTTTTCACCCTGTCCTATTGTGTCCTTGGAGAGTTGAACAGACATGCCAACATGAGATGGCTTTCTGCCAAGAGGGGAGAAATAGTCAGCCCTGTCATTATCTCTTCTTGTGAAGGCTGTTCATGATGAACTGTTCCTGACAATTTACAGGCACGCAGGTCCATTACTTTCACATAGGATTCTAACAGAAAATGTGGAAAAAGCTCAGCAAATCTGGCAGCGTCTGTGGCAAGAAATCAGAGTTAACGTTTTGGGTTGAGTGACTCTTCCTTGTTGCTTTTCCAGCACTGTCTGTTTTTGTTTCTGATTTACAGTATCTGCACTTCCTTCAGTTTTCACACAGGACTCTGTCAGAGTCACAGAATTTAAACCCGCAGTTTTTCTGTAGCTGACCTCCTCTTACAAACAATGTATCTTGGGGTTCTGATCCATTGTCATGACACTATGTAATGAGCTACTCAACAGACCTCTTCTTGTTGCCAGAGAAAGACCAAACTCTGTCTTGTAGCCAATCCACGTCAGGAACAGCCCACAGGCTAGGTACAGAGTAAAACTCCCTCAACACTATTAGAACTTAGAACATAGAACAGTACAGCACAATACAGACCCTTCAGCCCACGATGTTGTGCCGACCTATTATCCTATAAGATCAATCTACCCTCTATACCCTACATTTTACTAATCCTCCATGTGCCTACCCAAGAGTCGCTTAAAAGTCTGCAAAGTATTTGACTCCACTACCAGTGCCCGCAGTGCATTCCAAACACCCACCACTCTCAGTGGAAAGAACCTACCTCTGACATCTCCCCTATAACTTCCTCCAATCACCTTAAAATTATGCCCCCTTGTAATAGTCATTTCCACCCTGGGGAAAAAGTCTCTGACTATCCACTCTATCTAGGCCTGTCATCGTTTTAGTACACTATTACACTTCGTCATTTCATTCAGTTTGTTAGTTTAACATACAAATTTGTTTTGTTATGAAGAAATGAATTTTCTTACTTGGTTGAGAGTGATTTTAATTCACGTTCTTGTTTTTCTCATCATTTTGGATGGACAGCTTACAGACCAGAAGCCCAAGTGCTGGGCGAAACAATTATAGTCTCAATGATTTCCCAATTAGAATTAATTTTCGAGTAGTGGTACTAGAAAGTTGACCCCTAATGTTGTTTAATTACATTAACATTGTTCCTTTCATTCAGAAAATACCTGGAATGACAGGAAATTAGGCAGAGTTATTGGCCACTGACTGTCATTGTATTTAGTTGCATTATGATCCACAAATCCAGAAACATGATGTTTCAATATGCTCTCAAGTATATTATACATCTTAACATTGCTGGAGGATTAAACACAGACTGGGAGATGACACTGAATTCCAATTCTCAGGTTATTACATTGGGATCCAACTCCTGGCCTCTGGATCAATAGTCCAAGTCTCCAGACTGAAAGACTGAAGAGGTTAGAGCTCTTCCCTCCAGAGTGGAGGAAGCAGAGCCTGATAGTAGCTGTTGTAACATGAAATTTGCATCCATGGATAGCTCAAAGATCATGAATCAAGGATCCTTTATTCCACTGGCATCAAATCATTGTAATCATGAAGGGAAACATAAGTTAAACAAGGAGAATTTACAAGGAATGAAGCCTGGATTTACATTGGGCCCAGGAAGCTTTTGTCTGTCTGCTCCTTTTTCCCATCAGAACTCCATCTCCCAGAGACATTCTTTTTCCCAGAGAGGGTCTGATCAACTCTTCCAGTAGCTCTCCCTCACCATTGCCACGTGCTGCTGGAGGATCTGTTATACCCAAATCTGCTTGAAAGTTTCCAGCCCAGCGACTACACAGTGCCTGTTTGCTAAGCAGTTGTGTGCTTAGCAGGATCAATCGTGTTGCAATTACTAGAATGTTTGAGTCCACACCAGTGGCAGAATTCTCTTGTCTTTGATCTGAGCAATTGATAAGAATTGAAATAATGTCCAGCATTTACTCAAAGCAACCTTCTCAGCTTCTTATCAGGACTGGTACCTTCCAAGGTATCTAGGGTTTGTGGCAGATCACTACATTGGGATCTAGTCCTATACCATTTGCCTTTGTCACCGCCTGCTGCACCTGCAAGCTTACTTTCAGTGACTGCTGTACAATGTCTTCTTGCACCTCCCCATGTCTCAAGCTATTATCATTCAGATGATAATCCGCTTTCTGCTTTTGCGACTAACGTGGATAGCCTCACATTTATCCACATTATACTGCATCTGTCATGCATTTGCCCACTCACTGTACTTGTCTAAATCACATGGAAGCATCTCTGCATCCTCCTCCCAGTTTTTCCTCCCACCCAGCTCAAAGTCATCAAAGCTCACAATCTGCCTGGGTTTCTTTACATTTTCTTGCACAGTGTTGAGAGTAACACTGCGTTGAACACCACGTTTTCCCAATCTTCCCCAAGTCTATTTGGTTTTCCACTTGTTGGCAGGTAAGTATTGATCATAAGTACTGCTTCCTTCCTCCGTTGTGTCAAAGGAATGCACATGGGGAGTGTATGCTGCGGTTTAATGAAAAAATCGGACACTCTCTGCCAATAGCTGAGCCTCTAGTGAACCGTGAGAGCTTCAGCCTCTTGCCTCACAAACGTAGACAGTTTCAGTTTCCCCCACCATCCACTCCATCTCACCCAGGCACCTTTCAACTTCATCTCCCAAGACTTGATGCATTGTGAACTCCTGATGTCTACACATGAAATATGAGATTTGAACACATGGACAGCCCCAAATCATGAACCAGGGATTCTTTATTCCACTGACTTCATGTAAGTACAAACATGAAGGGAAATGGTCAGACATCAGTGTCTGCCCATTTCGCCAACTTGTCAGTGTCTCTTTGAAGTTATTCAGCATCATCTTCATTCCATGGGGGAGGGAATGAACCCAGCATGAAGGAGAGGGTGAGCCCAGTGCGGAGGAGAGTGAGCCCTGAGGTGATGTCAGCGAGGTAGGCCCAGCAGTGAAAGATGGCGCCTAAGGTTCGATGACATCGTTGTTGGTTGTCTCTGGCACTGGCAGCAGCAAAGCGGTGGTGGGAGGGCACCATGGTAACATTGAGCGTGGCGATAGTCTCCAACGTTGATATGCCTGGTGCAGCTCGTGGCACAGGTGAATCGGCCGAACGGCAGAGAATGACACTTGATGATCGGCGACTTAAGTATCAATTGGGTCTGGTGAGGCGCTGGTGGATCTGGAGCTTGAGAGTGAATGTACTTCTCTCTTAGCTGTGTCTTTTCATTATCTCTTATTCTTGGATTTTGAAAATGGCACTGGATTATGACGACAAATGAAACCTTTCACTATTTTATTTTATTGTATTTCGCTATAAAATACACGTGACAATAAAATCATTCAAATCAGTGCTAATGAAGATTTTGCAAGGAAATACTCTGAACATTTACATGGAATGGAGTGTGTGGTTCACATTGGGCAGAGGAATCCTTTGTCTGTCTATGTCATCTTCCCATGAGTCTGCCTTCCGCCCACAAAGATCCTTTCTTTCCAGAGAGGGTCTGTTCAATTGCTGCAGCTGCTCTCCCTCACCGTCTCCATCTGCTGCTGGAGGTTCCATTACGCCTTAAAATTGTGAAGGTGTTTATATCAAGTAAACTCTGCAAAAATCAACTAAAGGGACATAAATATAAATAACCATTAA